TGATTCAGGCAGGAGCATTGGTACTTGTGTACTCAGATGGTTCGGTTTTACTAACTCATGGTGGAACAGAGATGGGACAAGGCCTGCACACTAAAATGGTCCAGGTAATGCAAACAAGGCACAACAAAAATACTATATTAAATTGTTTGTCACAACTGTTCGTATTAATTTTTGTGTTGTGCAGGTGGCCAGTAAAACTCTTGGAATCCCCTGCTCAAAGATTCACATCACAGAGACCAGCACTAACACAGTTCCCAACACCAGCCCTACGGCCGCCTCCGCCTCCTCAGATCTTAACGGCATGGCCATCTATGTAAGTCTCATGCAGCAGATATTCATATTTATGACACTTTTTTATATACACTACCGTTCAAAAGTTTTGGGTCAGGAAGGTTTTTTTTTTCACATTTAATTGATCAAAAGTGACATTAAAGCCTTTTACTATGCTAGAAAGAAAATCTATTTGAAATGAATGCTGTTCTTTTGAACTTTCTAGCCATCAAAAAATCCTGAAAAAACTGTTGTCAACATTTATAATAATTTAATAACTATTTAATATCAACAAATCAGCATATCCGAATGATTTCTGAATGATCATGTCACACTGAAGACTGGAGTAATAGCTGCTGAAAATTCAGCTTTGCCATCACAGGAATAAATAATATTTTAAAATATATTAAAATCAGTTATTTTAAATAGCAATAATATTTAACATTATTACTGTACTTTTTGGCCAAATAAATGCAGCCTTGGCGAGCAAAAGAGACTTCATTCAAAAACATTAAAACATTTTTATCGACCCCAAAGTTCTGAACAGTACTTTATGTCAGCCATCGAACTAATCCACAATATTTCAAATCAATATTTGTCAACAAATATTGACATACAACATACAACACAACATTTACATACAACACCCTAATTTTTTCCACAGAACGCTTGCCAGACATTACTACAGAGACTTCAGCCTTACAAAGACCAAAACCCCAAAGGCTGCTGGGAGGATTGGGTCAGTATCAGTTTTTGTATACAATTATTCATCGAATGTTTAATATTTTTATGTATTTTATATATTACATTGTATTCACATTTGCAGGTGAAAGCAGCATATTTCAACAGAGTTAATTTGTCTGCCAATGGATTTTACAAGTATGTTAATTTCAGAATGGTTTCTTCAGCTATAATTGAATCATTTCTAATCTTGTTGGTCCTCATAGAATTGAGGAATTATTATTCATTTGATTATATTTTATAGGACTCCAGATCTTGGCTATGATTTTGAAACAAATTCAGGAAGGCCATTTAACTACTTCAGTTATGGCGTGGCCGTCTCAGAGGTGGAGATAGACTGTCTAACTGGCAGTCATAAGGTAATGCCAGTGTGAAACGTGTATTTGTTATGTTCAAATACCAGTTTTACTGACAACAGGACAACTGGTCTGCATAATAGATTATATATTCGAGATCCATACTTCAAAGTTAACTATCTCTCCTGTCAGAATCTTCATACATCCATAGTCATGGATGTGGGCAAGAGTTTAAATCCAGCATTGGACATTGGACAGGTATTTCATCAAAATTTAATAAAACGGATCACACCATTGTCAAAGCAATGCAACACCCGCTGAGTGGCATTAAACAGCTTGAAAGATCAAAGACAATTTTTTATATAACTCCGACTGGATTCGTCTGAAAGAAGAAAGTCAAATAGACCTAGGATGCCTCGGGGGTGAGTAAAACGCAGCCTAATTTTCATTTTTGGGTGAACTAACCCTTTAAATATAATATGATTTGTGGCTGTGTGTGCAGGTGGAGGGTGGGTTCATGCAAGGTTTAGGTCTGTTCACGCTGGAGGAACTACGCTACTCTCCTGATGGTTACCTGTATACTCGTGGACCTGGGATGTATAAGATTCCCGCTTTTGGGGATATTCCCATTGAATTAAAGGTCTCGCTGCTCAGAGACGCTCCCAATGAGAAGGCCATCTTCTCTTCAAAGGTTAGATAAACCACAACAACTAACTCTCCTGTAAGATCATAGTTTGAGTCTGTTAACTCTTATGGCTGTGTTTTTACTCAGGCTGTGGGTGAGCCTCCTCTCTTTCTGGCAGCCTCAGTGTTTTATGCCATTAAAGATGCCATCACAGCTGCCAGGGCTGAGTCCAATCTGACTGGACCCTTCAGACTGGACAGCCCCGCCACGCCTGAACGGATACGAAATGCCTGTGAAGACAAGTTTACTAAACTGGTATGTAGTAACTTTCACTGTTGACTGTTGGCTTCATATAATGCATAATTACACATCGGCATCAAATCTGAACCATGGTCATTTCAGGTTCAGATTTGATGTGAATTTGTCGTTATACACATTTAAATCAAGTCAGACTTTACCATTTGAACGTTTGGACCATTTTTTTGGACCATTTTTTTCATCAAGGATGCATGAAATTGAAAATAGTTATTTTAAGTTGTAAGAATATTTCACAAGATTACTGTTTTTATAGTTTCTGATCAAATAAATGCAGCCTTGGTGAGCATAAGAGACTTCTGTCAAAAACTGACTCCAAATTTTTGAATGGTAGCGTACATACAACTTCAGAATCAAATATGGCATTCATGGAGCTGCTTGATGTGGTTTTATTGTTTGATATCATATCAGCTGCTTTTGACAGGGCCTACTGAAATTTGTTGACCATTGTATGTTTGCGTTTATTTTAGTGTCCTCCTGCGGATCCTGGCACCTTTATTCCATGGGCAGTGCAGGTGTAAGACACAGCAAAGCCAATTTAAAGTCAGATTGAATCAAAATGGACTGTTTACTTTCCTAATGCACATGCCTGGTCTTGTGTATGATTTATCTGTGCATGTTATTCCAAAGGAAAAATAACAAAAATGTATGTTGTTGTAATCTTTAAGCAAAATTCTGCTGGTCAGCACAGGCTATTGGATAATGTTAGCTAAAAGCCAAATATATATTAATTACACATTTGACCCACAAGCCACTTAATTCCTGATGGGTAAAATCAAATCCTGCCCCACATTTTTTTAGACATCCTGTTTCACTCGGAAATATGTTTATGAAAGTAAAATGGGTTGCAAGTGGAAATTCACATTGACTTTAAAAGTCCTCAGAGTTTAAAATGCACAACAGCAAAGGCATTGAGAGAAGAACATTAATTACCAAAGAAATAGAAATTCTGATAATTTTGTCGTGAGCAGATTATACTGTGAAAACAAAAGCACTTGTGCTTTTATGACCTCTATGTGCTCTTAGTGAAACGTACATTTATATATGTGACCCTGGACCACAAAACCAGTCAAAAGGGTAAATTTTTCAAAATTGAGATTTATACATCGTCCTGGATAAATAAGCTTTCCATTGATGTATGGTTTGTTAGGATAGGACAATATTTGGCCGAGATACAACTATTTGAAAATCTGGAATCTGAGGGCGCAAAAACATCAAAATATTGAGAAAATTGCCTTTAAAGTTGTCCAAATTAAGTCCTTAGCAATGCACATTACTAATCAAAAATTAAGTTTGAATATATTTACGGTAGGAAATTTACAAAATATCTTCATGGAACATGATCTTAATATCCTAATGATTTTTGTCATAAAAGAAAAATCGATAATTTTGACCCATACAATGTATTTTTGACTATTGCTACAAATATACCGTGCTACTTAAGACTGGTTTGTGGTCCAGGGTCACATATAACAGGTAAATGATTTGTGCACAAAGTAATTTTGTTATCTCATTGTAGAAATTATTAATTTATTTTGTAACTGAAGCTGTCTTATAATAGGGATAATAATACTGAGATAAAGTGAGTAGTATTTCTCGGGTCATGTGATCTCAAAATGATATATAAGTCACTATATAAATATATAGTGCCTTTTTAAATAGTATTATTGAATAGGCTACTAATATCATATATGTGACTAGTTTACTTATGGTAATTGAATTACATCATAGTTTATTGCAATATAAATAGTACATTATTTATGATTCAGGTTAGGCTACAATGGTTGTCATATTAATTTAATACTCATGATTAAATGACTACTGTGCATATGTTTGATGAATCTTGTTACAAATTATAATTACTTCCAAATGTATTTTTTCAGAACAACTCACTGTATAAATAAAAGTCTGTTCTAACATTTACACAAGACTGATACCTTATTAAGGTTTTAATGTTTGTCAATGAAAAGCTCTCACCTCTGAGAGTAACCGTGTGTTCTATAGAATCCTGAGAGATTCTGGACGTTCTTTGTATTTCATTCCAATCACTCCATTGTAGCTGCAAAGGTCTCTGATGGCAGAAGGGTGCCTTTAAAAGCCTAATTCAATGATTTCAATCTGTAAATGTAAAGGAGAGGATTAAATACTGAATTTACACGAAAGAGGATGACTGTTGGCAAAATCACAGGACAAAAGCTTGAAACTGCCATAAAATTGCCAAATCCATCTTGTGTCTTCTCTTAAATAACATGACAGACTGGAAACCCTTGTTTCTGTTAAGATTCTGGGCTTTCCAGTTTTTCATGAGGTTTGCTGGACTTGTTTAACATACAATGGGTGTATCATTATTCTCTTTGTAATTAGCTGAGATTTACTTTAATCTGAACAGTTTAGTAAAATTGCATTGAAATAATTGTGAGAATTTTTTTTTGAAGAACAATAAAAATTGTTCAGTTAAACATTAACATTAAAGATTAAAAGATAAAAAAACGAGAGTTGTTATGTTTTATGTGAAATACGCGAAAATATTATATATTTTCGCGTATTTCATATGAAAATACGAAAAAAAAGTTAATAGGAATCCCAGCAATTAATATAAACTGCGTGACCAGAAGACTGTAACAGTTCCTCAAGTATCTGATAATTCTTTCCATATCTCAAAATTGCTTTGAAGGGAAACGTGGTTCAGTTTACTAGCTGCAATACGACTTGTTGACTCAGGTCAGTTTGCGCATTCTGCTCACAGGTAATGTTCATGTCAAAGTGACATTTTAGCATTAAACCAAATGCAAGACTCGTCGGAGAACATATCGGGTTTTACCTGCGCAGTAACAGACGTAACTAAAAAGCGAATGCTGTTTAAATGAGCTGAAAATAACACAAATATCCGGGATTTCCGGTGGGAATATACGGAAGAGAGGTGTTCTGTGCGCTACGTGGCCACATGTGACAGCAGCAACGGTAGCAGCAACTCGTATTGACAGTTTGACATGATGGAGTTTGACAGAGCAGAACATGACAGCGACAAGATCGAGAAAACCAGCGAGAACGGCATTAACACCGAAACTCACGCCTCCGGCACTGAGGAAGACTGTAAATCATGCGAGGATCATGAAGGACCTCGGAAATCATGGAGTTTGGAGAGAAACTGGGGATTTACTTTAGATGAGCTCTTCAAACTTGCACTGAAATTCTTTAAAGGTAACTTGAACGGATTACCAAATAACTCAGACTTTCCCTTTCCCTTTTCTGTTTGTCCAGTAAATGTTTACAACTTTATTTATTTTGTCCCGTCACAAAACAAAATTAAAGTCCCTTTTTTCTGGGCAGAAATTCATTATTTAAGAAAAATAACCATTTTATTTTAGAGTACAACTGAAAAATTTCACTACTAATATTTACGTTTTAATTTCTGTTTACAGGTGTTAAAATATGAAACATGTCTATAAAAACTCGAAACAAGCTCACTCCGGTGAATGTAATCCGCTGTGAGCGTTGTTAAACTCATCGCGAGCTTCAGCGCAGAAAATGCATTCATGCTCCTTCCGTGTGTGTAGGGGAGAGCGAATAATAAACAGATGCGTCTCATTTTAAATAAACACTAAAAACTGAGATGACAAATTTACTTCAGTCAGAAATGTAGCCTACTTGTGCAATGGTTAAATAAATGTTCAGCGATATCTTCAAAATATATTTTTCTCTATATAGAGATGATATGGCAAGGAAATCAAACGGAATTTTGTAAATATTGTTATGCTAGCGTGTGGAAATGTTTAAATTGCGTAGTGTTACAATTAACCCCCTGTTTGTGCCCCACTCGACCTGTACATGTGAAATGCTTTTTTCAGACAGTTTCCTTATTGGTAGGTAGCCAAATGCATAAGGAACGAAAACAGCGCTGAGTTCTAACAGACGATATAAATATTGCAATTCGTAATTAATGTTGGAATATCGTGCAGCCCTAGACTGAACTGTGTGAGTGTGTGTGTCATTGAAACTCAAATTTAGCTGCAGCCAAGTGACTTTGTGCGACCCACCACAGTTTGAAAACCCCTGGTCTGGATGGTCGAGAATCTAGATACACTGTAGTAATAACTCCACCCATTCAGGAACTGAAATGCCATTCATAATAATCATTATTCAGGTTCTCCTAGATGTTGTACACGATGGTTAATGTAAATTTAGTCATTGTCTCACACAGAGATGAATGGGAAGGCGTTCAACCCAACATATGAAGAAAATCTCCGTTTGGTTGCACTACATAAGCAGATCACAATTGGTCCTTATGATCCAAACGCATGTCCAGAAATTGGGTTCTTTGATGTACTGGGAAACGACAGAAGGTAATGGAGGAATAAGCGTATAAAACGCTCATTTTTTGTGCAAATTATGACTGTATAAGACCATTAGAGTATTATAAATTCCATATAATATGGTAGCTTGATATTAATGCACTTACCAAATATTAATGCACATATAATGGACTATATATTACCATATATTAATGCACATACTACCAAATTATATTCTCTGTACCATGGTACCGCCACAGCATGTTTTGTAAGGATGTGTAAAATCATATTATGTATGTGCAGTACAAAGTGGGTTTTGTTCTTCTTTATTCTTTTAAAGCCATATAGCACAATCCTAAAATGTCTATAGATGCTTCATTTAGTTTGTTTCACTGCATTTCTCAGGAAAGAATGGCTACGGCTGGGCAGCATGGCTAAAGAAGATGCCATGGAGGACTTTGTGAAGCTTCTGAACTCCTGCTGTAGTCTGTTTGCACCATATGTGACATCACATAAGATTGAGAAGGAGGAACAAGAGAAGAGACGGTGTGTTCTGTATTAGTTACAGTGCCTAAAGTTTCTTATAAAGTAGTCTATTAATCTGTTAAAACTTGTAGGAAGCCCATTTTATTCTGTGTGTTTGTGTGTTTAGAAAAGAAGAGGAAGAACGTCTCAGGCTGGAGAGAGAAGAGCAGGAGCGACAGCGACTGGAAGAAGCAGCACGACGCAGAGAGGAAGAAGAGAGGAGGATAAAAGAGAAGGAACAGAGAAGAAAAGATGAGGCAGAGAGGTTACAGATAGAGCGGCAAAAGTAAGTGCTAGTGGTTTGCTGATATTCAATGAATGGTTTCACTTTTATGAGCATAAAGTTGCTCTAAATATCTGTCTGTCTGTCTGTCTGTCTGTCTGTCTGTCTATCTATCTATCTATCTATCTATCTATATATATATATATATATATATATATATATATATATAGCATATAGCCTAGAATATAAAATCTAAACTTAAATAAATACATTTTAACTCAGCTTTCAGTAGAATTCAGCTTTAAGAAAGTGTTTATCTCTATGTGTATTACTATCTATGTGTACAGACAACAGATCATGGCTGTTCTGAATGCACAAACGGCAGTGCAGTTTCAACAGTATGCCAAACAGCAGTATCCAGACAATCCAGACCAGCAGCAGTTACTCATCAGACAGCTGCAGGAACAGCACTACCAACAGTACATGCACCAGGCCCTCCGCTTACAGCAGGTACGAGTAGATTCAAGTAAGCTTCTTATCACGATTCTTAAAGGGGTTGTTAATATTTTGACATAATAAGAGGTCTTTGTACCTTTAAAAAATCCTGCAAGTGTCATCACTTAAAACATTTTCCTTAGTACAAAAAAAAGCTAAAAAAACGACTTGTTTGCATATTGTGGGATTTGTGACATCACTCTGGCATATACATTTGTGTATGTCATGCCTCTAGAGCAAGGCACCAACATCGTCATGCATCATCGCACCATTGGCCACGGCCACTGGTGTTTAGTCACTTAACAGCTGACACCTGTTTACACCGTGTTGTGTTGCATTGTGTCAAAAGCGAATAAACCCATTATAATCACTGCCGCTGACTATACAGATGTCTGGCCAATTTCTGACGTAGTCCACATGCTTGAGCTACTACCGACAACAGGACAAATGGAAAAGTAAAGGAACATTTACGTTTGTCCAGTTTAAAGCATGTTTTCATCTGTACAGCCTACAAAAGGACCTCAGCATCAGAAACGGGTGAATGTCCCGGAGCACGGTGGAGGATCATATGTTTATTAGGAGCATTTCACTGCAGATCATAAACGAGGCACAGTCCAATGGAGAGTTCGCACAGAAACTTTTGTCGAAACTGAAAGTAAACAATTTCAAATATTTTTGTTTGTAAATGATGATTTTATATGGATAATGTTTTCAAAACATTTATTCACGTGCAATCACGAGGGGGCGTTGATACTTTTTACTATGAAATGACATTAGTCAATCGTAACATTGGACGTTATTGTTTATACTAACAAGCATTGAAGGTCAGAATGAGGGTTGAAAATAATAATTTTTGCAAATATATGTTTTTGTGAACAAAATTTTTTATTTATACTTCATTTTAATTGAACCCCAGGAAACATGTTATAATAATAATTTTAAAAAATGTCATAAACCCTTTACATTTCTCCTGTATGACTTCAGATGGCCTTGCAGAAGCAGCAGGACTCAAATGTGAATCAAATGTCAGAAGCTCTTCCTTCTCCTGTGTCAAATGAAGCTGTGCCCACCTGCAATCCCAACAGCCAATCAAATTCATTAGAGAATCAACAGACAGACTCAAAAGCCTTCCATTTGTGTGTAGAAGGCAAAACAGGAGGTGTGTTTTATCTAACTATGCAAGTGACTTTCGATTTGCATATATACTATCTATCTATCTATCTATCCTTCTCCTGTGTCAAATGAAGCTGTGCCCACCTGCAATCCCAACAGCCAATCAAATTCATTAGAGAATCAACAGACAGACTCAAAAGCCTTCCATTTGTGTGTAGAAGGCAAAACAGGAGGTGTGTTTTATCTAACTATGCAAGTTACTTTCGATTTGCATATATACTATCTATCTATCTATCTATCTATCTATCTATTATCTGTCTGTCTGTCTGTCTGTCTGCCTGTCTGCCTGTCTGCCTGCCTGTCTATCTATCTATCTATCTATCTATCTATTATCTGTCTGTCTGTCTGTCTGTATGTCTCTCTATCTAAACATTCTTAAATTTATCAGTGATAGTAAAGACTTTCACATTATTTTCTAATGATAGTAATGATAGTAAAGGCTTTTATCATTACCATTTCATTTATTCGTTAAACAAATATGAAGAAATGAGATAAGAATGTTTTCTGAAGGATCATGTGACACTGAAGACTGCAGTAATGACTGCAGAACATACAGCTTTGCCATCACAGGAACCAATTGTATATAGTTATACAGTTTATAAATATATAGTTCTTTTAATTTTTAATAATATTTCACAGTATTCTTGTTACTGTATTTTTGAATACCAAATTATGGTATAAAATAGTGTATTTTATGTATATATTATTTTTTATTTTAAGATTTAGGTATTTGTGTCTATTATTTCTGGTTGTATTCCACAGTAATAAAAATATACAAATATAATTGTAAAATAAAAGTTATTTGTAAAAAGATTATTTTAGCATACAAGCGAAAATAACAGACATAAAACACTTTTTTGCCTTTTTTTCTTTCTTAAATGCAGAAGTACCTATCATTGCTCCCTCTATGTGGACACGGCCTCAGATTAAGGAGTTTAAGGAAAAGGTGTTGCACGATCAGGACTCAGTGATCACAGTGGGCCGAGGGGAGGTGTTGACGGTACGGGTGCCCACTCATCAGGATGGCTCACACCTGTTTTGGGAATTTGCCACCGATCACTACGATATCGGTTTTGGGCTGTACTTTGAGTGGAAGGACATGACCATGCCAGCAAGCACTGAAACTACTGAAACTAAAGAAGGTAACAGGATGGATTTCTTTGACAAAGAGATAAATACTTAATCAAATATTTATTACATCATATTTATTTTGAATTTAAGGCACAGAACAAGTTGAAGGAGAGAAGCAGACAGAACAGGGCCGATGTCCACTGGTACATGAGATTGCTCCTGTTTCCCGTCGTGACAGCCATGAGGAAGTTTATGCAGGCAGTCACCAGTATCCTGATCAAGGAGTTCATCTTCTGAAATTTGACAATTCCTACTCCCTCTGGAGGCCAAAGGTTGTCTATTACAGAGTTTATTACACCAGATAAACATCAGCAGACCAGGTTCTGCATTCACAGTCCACATTTGAGCATGCTGAGAGAGTCTTTAACAGAGGCCTAGTGCTCAAGCTTTTGAAATATGCCATTTGTTTTGAATGCAAAGGAATTTGCATTGTGTTCTCAAGATACATGTATCCTGCTTTGGAGTCATGATCCAAAGTCCTTGGACGTCCTATGCTTTAGAAATGTTTGCATACAAGAAGACAATTTTTCCAATATCTTGTATGTTTATTATGTTGAATCAATGAAGGAGTGGTGTATACTAATTATTTTTTTAATTGATGTGATTGATTCCAGCACTTTAAAGTTTCAAATGGATCCCGAAATGGGTGATATTTCACCATGTATTTCTTTGGTTTATAGGACTTTTTTTTTTATTGTTGTGTGGGTGGTTGAAGAGATCAAGCAATAGATAATTTAATAGTTTATTTTTATATTACGGCCTAATCTAATTGTAAACATGATTATTCCATTTTATATGTTAATTATAACCAGAGTTAAGGATTTGTTAACCTTTTGAAAGGTTGTCTATATGTTTGCACAAAAATACCTATTTGTGCATAAAAGCAAGTCAAGAACTAGTACTAGTACTGTAAAATGTGGCTTTCTGGTAAAGGTTCATATTATTTGTGTATTTTCTTGTCTAAAGCAGACATGCGTGTCCTGCTGATACCAAAACATATATGCAACTATGCAGATTCCACAATTTTGCACACTACAATGATGGAGGCATGTTGTGTGTAGACAGATAGAAGAGGGGGGAAAGACACTAAATATATTGGATTAACAGTAATAGTTAAAAAAATGTCATTTAATTCTACAAGAATTATAAGTGGCAGCTAATCTTGCATCTAAGGTGTAACCATGTAACATGGTGAGGGATTTTTGTCTTTTTAGTTCTTTGTATTTTTTGTATAGGTAAAATTGCCCCATTGATATCTGTAGACCTGTGGAAGGCCCCACAGTGCAATCTTTTTTTTTTTTTTTTTTACATTGTGTGAGAATGGTATATTTTATGTGAAATAAATGCTTTTATACCCTTCATAAGTGTGCACGTTTATGAAGTATATTTAAATTATCATGGAAATTATTGTATAGCCCCATGTATGATTATCCTATTTTTCTGCATTGTTTCAGCAATAAAGTAACATGTATATATTCAAAACTTTAAAATCACAAGGTTAAATCATCCAGCACGCATAAAGATACAGACTTTTTTTATTGCAATAATTCATACTTTAATCATGCATAATCAAACAGTATATTCATACCAATTCAATTTATTTGGTAGTAAAACAAAAGAAAAAAAATTACCATCTAGTGTCCATCATAATTTCTTATTACTATGTTCATCTTTAGTTACGTGTTATAGCAGCATTTATAGCCCTGCGTAAAGCAGACAGCAGCCTGATCTTGTCCTCTTCTCTATCTGTAGCACAGATCCACTGGCGCTTTGGGCTCTCCAGCTGAAAAGCGTTTCGAACATCTGAAAAGGTTATGGATAGGTTGAAATGTATATATAATTTCATATTTTATAACATTAATAAATACATAAGACATAACATATGACATAATTATTTCAAACTTTTGTCTGGTAGTGTAGCGTAGTACTGCTAATTTTAGAGACAACATAATGAACATTGCATTGCCGTATGAAGTTATAATGACACATACATTTTGTGTCTGTGATTTCCGTGAGATTTAGACAGTGAAGAGCCACAGAGGACAGAAAGGTGTGAGTCGTGTTCACTGCCAGACAAAATGGCACGTTTGACACACTCCTCTCAGTCAGCACTAGAGCATCATTGAACAGAAACAACCCCAGGTCACTCACATGCTCATACATCCTGAGAAGAAAAAGAGAGAAACATCACAGATCAGTAGGGTTGCTTGAGTAAATCTGCTTCCATAAAGGAATAGTTCACCCCAAAAAATTTTAATTTGCCAAGCATACTCGCCCTAAGGTCATCTAAGATGTAGATGAGTTTGTTTCTTCATCTGAACAGATTTGGAGAAATGTAGCATAGCTCACCAATAGATCCTCTGCAGTGAATGGGTGCCGTCAGAATGAGAGTCCAAACAGGTGATAAAAACATTACAATAATCCACACGACTCCAGTCCATCAATTAATGTCTTTTTTAAACAAAGCCGCATGTTTGTAAGAAACAAATCCATCATTAAGGTAAGTATTTAATTTCAAACCGTTGTTTCCAGCTAAAATAGATTATCCATAATATGTGACCCTGGACCACAAAAGCAGTCATAAGTAGCACGGGTATATTTGTAGCAATAACCAACTAAACGTTGCATGGGTCTAAATGATCAATTTTTCTTTTATGCCAAAAATCAATAGGATATTAAATAAAGATCATGTTCCATGAAGATATTTTGTAAATTTCCTACCGTAAATATATTAAAACAAAATTTTTGATTAGTAATAAGCATTGCTAAGAACTTCATTTGGACAACTTTAAAGGCGATTTTCTCAATATTTATACACATGGACTAAGTACATACATACATAAAATATTTTTTTGCACCCTCAGATTCCAGATTTTCAAATAGTTGTATATCGGCCAAATATTGTCCTATCCTAACAAACATCAATGGAAAGTTTATTTCCTCAGCTTTCATGTGATGTATAAATCTTAATTTCGAAAAATTGACCCTTGTGACAGTTTTGTGGTCCAGAGTCACATATTGCTTTCTCTACTGAAAAATCGTCTCATCTGAATCAAGACAGAAACATGCACAGATTAAGCACTGTTTACAAAGTGATAGCAGCTCTAAACAAATATACGTCGGTGGATTTTGATGTGAAAGGACAACAGGGGATGGCGTTATTGGGAATTATGGACTCATATTTTGGCCAGAAGCGACTGTTTAATGTTAAAAGGTCTTAATTATGGATTGTTTCTTACAAACAAACAGCTTTTTGCTTCACAAGACATTAATTGATTGACTGGAGTCATGTGGATTACTTCTAGATTATTGTGATGCTTTTTTATCAGCTTTTGGACTCTCATTCTGACGGCACCCATTCACTGCAAAAGATCAATTGGTGAACAAGTGATGTAATGCTAAGTTTCTTATTTACTCATTGCAAAATTAATGATTGATTTCTCATTTCTCACCATAAACTCATTTACACCTTGGATGGCCTGAAGGTTAGAATTTTTCATTTTTGGGTGAACTATTTCTTTAATTAAAAAAATACATTCAAACATATTGAGTTATGCTGTTGTTGGTTATCTACAAACAGAATAAGACTGGCTTCAGGTAGACAGAGAGACTCCTGTTTCTCTGACATTTGATCTCAGGTCAGTGGCAGCACCTGAGAGAGGCAGCAATGTCTCCATTAAGGCAGCTCAGTAATGCCACATCCTGTGTGGTGACCAAGTATCTGCTTTCCTCCAACAAATTCTAAATAAAGTACAAAAATACGCTGTTATACTGTGTATGAACACTGACATCTGCATACAAGTGCACTGCAAATACATATGGCTGTCCATCACAGGCTTTTCCTGTTCTTTTAAGTCCAGAAAATTTGCTTTGTGACTTTTAATGGCCTGTGAGAACCTGACCTCTGTAAATAAATGGCTGCTGCGATGACTATGCAACTTACTGGGCAGCTTTGAATTGTGCTCTGTGCCTCCATGATTCTCAAGTCTCGATCCAGACTCTTTTTCAACTGGGAATGAATAGCAAAGCATTGTCTTAAATTAAGGTAAACACATACATGTTCATATTAATTCACTGAGAACTTTGTTTTTAAACACACCTTGTGGATGAAGCCTCTGTAAGTCAGCAGTGAGTTGAGAGCAGACGATAACTGTGTGTAGTCCGGATGCTCAGATGGTGTGTGTAGCATTAATGCCTGAAGCAAAGTCACATACACCTCCACTCGTGCGGATGGTGTGAGAAACAGCTCCTGGAGACTGGATGTACATTTGGAGCGGTGCTAGAGTCACTCTTGTACAACTTTTCTCATTTGTCTGAAAACCAACAGAGCTGTCATTTTTTACTGTACCTCAGCATTCTGGTAGCAACAGTCCGGTCGTGTCTCTTCAGAAAGCTGCGGAATACAGGAAGCATCTCACGGCACTACAAAACATACACAATTATGTAACAGATAATGACAATGATTCAGTATATAAAATAATGTACATACGTATTATACACCAGAGGTATTAAAAAATGTTTGGTTTGTTTGTTTTTAAAGAAGTCTTTTATGCTCACCACAGCTGCATGTACTTGATCAAAAATTCAATAAAATCAGTAATAGTCATAACAATAGTAATTATTAAAATAATTGTTTAATTAATTTTTTAAAATGTAATTTATTCTTGTGGTGCCAAAGCTGAATTTTTGCAGTCATAACTTCAGTCTTCAGTGTCACATGATCCTTCAGAAATCATTCTAATATTTGGTGCAAGAAACATTTCTTCTTACTATTATCAGTGTTTAAAACGGTTGTGCTGCTTACTATTTTTGTGGAAAGCATGATACTTTTTGATGAATTCTTTCATGAACAGAAAAGAAAAACATGAATTTGTCATTTTTTGGAACAATGTACTGTCACTTTTATAAATTATTATATATCATAAATATCATGAATTATTCATTCATAAACGTTATTAGTTTTATGGGGTTGTACCTGAACTAAGCTTTCCTTGTCATAAATAGGTAAAATCATCTGATATTTCAAAAGACTTGCTGACATTGACAAATTCATGAGAGTCTGCAGGGGTCTCTATGTTAGCATTTCCTGTGTTATCCTGTTTCCTGTTTTTTTCCCCCTGCATGCCTCTGCACATTGCTTGTACCACATGATTTTGATTTGGCAGGTAAGTGTTTCAAATATTTATATTTTGTCAAAACTGCTTCACTGCTTTGATTATGATGACAATAAAATATTATACCAAACTATCCACTAATGTTTGGTTTTTAACATACCTTGTCTATACTTCTGAGAATGGTAGGATAGTTGTTGAAAAAATTAGTGTAGACCCGTAACTTGGTGCAAAACTTGACACAAACATCCCCCACACACTGCAGCGGACCCCACTCCTCCCACCTCTCAGTTAGCTCCTTCAGAAAAACACTGTGAAGAGCAGAGTCTTAGAAAATGAGAACGTAACAGAAACAGAAAAGTATATGTGGAAACATGGGAAATCTTTTACCTGTTTGTCTCCAATATATCCAGCAGAGGGCAGAAGATGGTGATGAGACCGACTGAGCTGATGATGGCTCGGTTGGAGTCCAGTGCAGCTCTGAGAGGGGTGTAGTACACTGTGGCCACCGCTTGAAGTTGTCTCACATATGTTTTCTCACTATTTAAAAGCTCTTTGCACACAGCACTGCGTCTGTCTGCATCACTTAGCAAGCCCTAACAAAAAAATACACATTTTAAGCACTGAAGGCATTGGGTAAACCAAACGAATGATCTAAAACAGAAACATTAGCAGTAACCTTTGGAGATTCTGGACTTAGGCCATTAAAGGAAGCACTTTCTGTAATAAACAGTGGCTCCATGTTCTTCAAACCATTGTTGACTGAAGACTTCAGTAGAAAGTGACCCAAGAAGTCTAAGGGATCATCCTACAGCATGACAGTGACTCAGATTTAGTATAATGCAGCAAGATAATCTGAGATTTACTGGAACCAAATGTTTCTTGCTTACCGGAGTCTCATTCATCAGGGCCACGAGGCCATGAACCAAACACTGCATGACCTCTGATTTAAGGGAAATGACAGGCATCTTTATATGATCCCAGAGGAACAGACCTGGAAAGGCCACACAAACAAGGAAAATGGTTTGAATACATACACAGGAGGGTAAATATAAGGTATGTAATTGACGTAACTGCACAAGACTGTGTTTTCATTTCTGACTTGCCCAGGATGCGGCCTCTGATCTCTTGACACATGAAGTGCAGCTGTGGCCCCAGCTGTTTCCGCAGATGCTTACAGGCTTCCTCTATCCATTCAGCCTGTCGGCACCAGCTAAGAAGGAAGGTCTCATGCAGGTACACCAACGGAGGAAACTCACCAGACCCAGACCACTCACCAAGAACTAGCAAAAAACACAGAAAC